ATTTACTATGATTTCTACATGTTGTATGTTTTGTTATTAATAAATTACTTAGATTATACAAACCTTAGATGGAACATAAGACACTGCGCATAATCCCATTTCGAAATTATTCACACCTACCAATCACAGTTGAGAAAATCACATGTCAGAGCATTTTCCATCCAAATTTAATGTGTCAACGAGAATTAATTTGATATTTTAGTGACTTAAATTTTGGAAATTAACGTTGAAAATGCCAATATGGGTTGTAAAAAGCTTTATTTATAATAAAAGTGCGAGAAGTGACGGAGATAAAAGAAACTTACATTTATTTCGGTGAGTTATTTAATTTTTAAAGATTCTGTCGACGGCCATATTTGTAGATTTGAAAATAAACAGAATCGGACTTGGTCATTGGTACATGTTATAAATAGCAAAAAAAGGTTATTAATATAAACTGTTTACTTTTTCTTGTTTCATGGGGAAACTTTTTTCAGGAAGTGGAAAGAGTAACATACTATCAAATACAAAAATATCAATTTAGTTGCCAATTTATTCGTTTCAAACTTTACAACTGGTTTCAATAGTTTTTTTAAAATTATTTAGTATTTCTCTATAACAGTGTTACTCAAAGTGTACTCCACGGAGCCCTGGGGCTCCGCAAAGCCTTTGTGAGGGCTCCGCGAAGAAAATAATCATGATAAGAAAAAACTACTATCGCCACAAAATGGAGGGACCTGGCTTGAGGACCTTTTTTTTTTGAGAAGTAATATTTTTAAGTCACTAAGAGCAAGGGGATATGATTTTGCTTGAGAACATTTTTTTATTTTTTATGAGTGAAATGAATTTGGGATAATTCTTGCAAGGAATCTTTTGAATTAATCAAAAATAAATTAACAACAAATGATGTTCTTGTGCATTTTCAGTCTGAGTTGCTGATTAAATTAATCGTAGATGCTTCAAATATGGGAATAAGGGCCATAATATGTCATGTTTTTCAAAAAAATATTGAGAAACCTTTAGCTTCTGCTTCGCGTACCTTATCAAAGTCCGAACAAAAATATTCCCAAATTGAAAGACCTTGCAATAATTTTTGGCCTAAATAAATTTAATGAATATATGGACTTTTTTATCTTAGTTACAGATCACTTACCTCTGGTCATTAGATACCATTTGGGTTGCATGTCACGACACCTATTTTTAGCATTATTTGTGTAATAGTATAATAACTCATTTAAAATATTAGGAAGTCCATGTAATATTTTCGATTAACTTATATATTGTTTTAAAATATCGATTAGATTTCATTTATTTCATTCAAATGAAAACAGACAAGCGTGTGCCAAACTTACTTTGGTGCAAGTTTTCGCCAATAATGTCAAATTATGACAGTTTGCGAAAAACGTCAACTTCCTAATTAGATTTGAATGTGCAAAAGCCTACTCTGGATAGTGATCGTAGAATTTTTTTTAGGGATTAATTACTATGCCATTATCCGAACAATAACCTGTAAATCTTTTGACTACCTCTTTTCTTTTGTACAATGCAGTTACTATAAACTATTGTCTTCAATGATAAAATTAGTATCGTCTGGATACAATAAACTGTTAGTATATGGACATGTATTAAAATCTTTTACATAAAGAATAATAAGTGCATTTTATGGAACCAGTTACTTAAAAATAGATAAAAAATTATAAAAAACATAATTAAAATTAAAAATTACCGATTCTGAAATAAAATGCTTTCTAGGTACACAAAAGATTTGAATATCTAAAATATTTTATATTTAATTTAGCATTAACTTAAGCAGTGATAATGTTCTTAAATAAATTATTTACATCAAAAATAATCCAATAATTTATATAACATACACAATCACAATGTTACTTTTTAGAAAGTGGTGATCCAGATACACTAGGACCTGTAGGAGTACTACGAGCCCTAACACAAAAATGTTCGGACATCAACTGATTTTTCGTAAAAGTTTGAAAATTTCCTTAAGGGATTCAATATCATATGTTTTTCATTTATAAGACATAGTATATGTATTGTTTACATCATATTTATGAAATTGTTTTCAAATAAACATATTGATCAATAAAACTAAGCTAATGTTGATAATAATGCATATTTATTGACACATAAATGTTCGGACAAATCACATCAATAGCTGGTTGCATCTCCCTTTGCCTTAATAACAGCTTTTATTCTATCAGGCATAGTTTTAACAAGCTTTTCGCAATCTTCCGCGGTAAAAGAATTCCATATATTTTGCAATTTTACCCGCAAATCAGAAATGTTGGATCATTTCTTAATTGCTGCTTCATCTTGTGCCATACAGTTTCGATTATATTTAGATTAGGGCTGCTGGAGGGCCAGTCAAGGACGGATATATTGTTGTCCTGCAGCCACTTTCTTGTGGTCTTGGCTGTATGGCAGGAGGCGCCATCTTGTTGAAAAGTAATGTTTTCATCAGATAATAAAATTGGAATTGACACTTACAAATTGGTTTCAAGAATGTTCTGATATTTTTCTGATACAATTCCGTCTATAAAGTGCAGTTTTCCAACACTGAAACCAGACATGCTTCCCCATACCATAACACCTGATGGAAATTTAATTTTTCTCTTCAGGCAGTCTTTGTGAAAGGCTTCATTTTTGGTTCTTATAACACGTGATCGATGGTCACCCACGCAAACATTAAATTTTGATTCATCGCTAAAAATGATTCTTTTCCAGTCTTCAAAAGTCCACATTGCCTGTTCTTTTGCCCACGCTAATCGTCTTTTCTTTTGTTTTTCCGTCAGTAACGGCCTCTCTTTTGCCTAAACCAATGATTTCACTGCATAAATATGAGATTTTCCTTAAACGTAACCTACGTACCTTATAAAAATGTAAACCAGACTTATGGATCCAGCGACGACACGTTTCACGTGAAACAATTCCAATTATTTCTTCATTCCATTTTGCTGTTATTTCCCTTACAGTACTTCGGCGATCAGTTTTACAAATCCGAACAAGAGATCTTTGCATTCGGGAAGTGACTTTGCGTGGCCGACCAGCACCATGTCTTGAAATTTGAGTTGAACCCGTTTCTCCATATTTTTCACAACATCTGACACCGTGGACTTTGCGACATTTATTTGTTTAGCAATATCCCGAAAGGTTTTTCCTTGGTTAAACAGTTTTACTAATTAATTCTCTAATTGCATCAGTTGTTGCTTTACCACGCGACATTTTGGAGCCAATTGATAATCGAATTAATTCTCAAGTTAAAATGTCAAAATAGAAACACTTTTCTTGTTTCCATGGCTTGCTATTATTTGTTTTACTAACGTGTCCGAACATTTAGGTGTCAGAAAATGTTGCATTTTTATCAACATTAGTTTAGTTTTATAAATCAATATTAGTTTATTTGAAAACAATTTCATAAATATGATGTAAACAATAAATATTGGGGTCTATTCTGTAAAAATTCCTTTATATTTAACGGCCTTTAAAAATATTTTCTTCTTTAATTCGGTCACTATTTAAACGGATCTTTAAAATACATTAGAGGACTATCTTAAAGAAATCTGTTTAAATATTGATAGAAGTAAATTAACGAATACGAACATGTTTTTATAGGCCGCAAATATTTTTAAAGGCCGTTAAATATAAAAGAATTGTTACAGAATAGACCCCATTATGTCTTATAAATGAAAAACATATGATATTGAATCCCTTAAGGAAATTTTCAAACTTTTTCGCAAAATCAGTTGATGTCCGAACATTTTTGTGTTAGGGCTCGTAGATGAGCACGGTTCTTCATTGTTCTTTAAAAAACTAGAAAAAAATTATATGTATGCTTCTCTCAATATAAATTATTAAGTTACCTTACTGGTGATGCAGTCTTTTCTTCTTCTTCATTTTTCGTCTCTTCAACTACCTCTCCCAAAATTCTGTAAAATGTGATGATTTCTGTATAATTTTAGAGCTTACATATTATAAAAATACTCATAATAAATATTGTACTTACTTGATAGATATAGCATTATATTGTAAAATGTGTCTACCACTTAAATTTTCATAAATATCTGCCATACAAAAATGGTCAGAACATACTAAGGCTTCTTTCATTTTCATAATGTCTTCCTCCACCAAGCATAGATTTTGCAGCCAAATTCTACGTTGAATAATTTCTCTAGGAAACCTGATCAGAAAATATAGAACATTATTATATAAATAAACAATACTAGTGCTAAATGCCTTTACACTATTAAATAAATTAAGCCTTATTCCCTGTATATGCCTACGTCTATGCTAACATAATCTCACTTATGAAATGACCAAATAACATCCTTATTCTGCGTATTTCGACACGCTATACATTTCCTCCCCATAGTAAAAGTCCTTATTAAAAAGTTCAGGGTTTAAATTATTCTTGAAAACTACAAAAAACTACAAAAAACTACAAAAAACCACAAAAAACTACAAAAAACCACAAAAAACTCACAACAAAACTTAATCTGTCACTTTGACAACATCAGCAAAATGTCGTAGGTTGCCAAAGTTAAAGGGTATATACCAGAATGTTTAATATTCCTATAAGATACACATGTAAAAATAGCTAAATAAAAGTCTTAAGTGATTGCAATTAATAAAAAACTCATATTGATGCTCCCAATTAGTTTTTCCCTTTTTATTAGATTGTATTAAAGGGAATAGTAACTTTTTTAATAAAAATTTTATGTTTGATATTTGATGAAAGAGATCTGACAACATAGGAAGAGCGTACCGTCAAAAAAAAAGCTGCAGAAAAGTGTAATGTATACAAGGCGTATCTATTATCCGATATCTTTGCACACATCAAATACTATACCGAACCATGCAATTTAATTAAAAATCCACATGGTCTAGTGTAGGATTCTGACCACAAAATTGCCTATAAATGAATATAAGCGCGTGAGACCGCTACACCTCCGACCCGAAGTAGAAAAGAACACTGCTCTTTTTGACAAAAAATATTTTTGTTTCAGGATTTAAAAAAATTTTTGGATGACAGTACAACAGGTGTCATATATTTTAGTCTGGGAAGCAATGTCAAATGTAATTTGTTAAGTGAGCGTTTCAGAAGGGAAATTTTGGATACATTTGCTAAAGTACCTTACAGAGTTGTTTTAAAAATTGATTGTAATTTGACAAATATTCCCAGCAACGTATTGGTTAAAAGTTGGATGCCGCAACAAGATGTTCTAAGTAAGTTAAAATTTTTCTTTTCATATTGATATCAACGACATTAATTGCTATTATTATAGAGATACTACATTTTTTTTTAAACGAGACTCTTATCTATATGGCGTTATACAGGGTGGTTTTTAAAAAGGACCCACCGGGACCCACTTTAAAAATCTCATTGTATATGTTACTTTTGGTTTTAGCGCCCTCAATCGTAACAAATGAAAATTTGACAAGATCAAAAAAACTTTATATTGTAATTGATCAATTTCATATAGCGTCTTCAAATGGCTCACTATTTCAGAACTAATTGAGTATTTGTCTTCAAATGAAATAGCACTGCAACGGCCCTTATTTTTTTGTCTTCAAGTGGACTTGCACTTTTAAGTTACTGTTTTAGTGCAACATTTTTATGTCTTCACTTGACATGCACTCATTAAGGTTTTATCTTCAAACGATAAATTAGTGTAGCGCTAGGGTTGTAATTTTTTACTGACAAATTCGACGGTTTTATGATTTCACTGCAATAGTATAACCTATAATACCTTTAAAAAATGTATCTTTCAAAAGAATATATGTAATTAAATTTGACAATGCATCATAAAAAAATTGAGTTATTAAATTTTGTTTCAAACGAGCTATCCAGTAGCAGCAGTAGTGACGAAAATGATAATAATAATTTTAGAATACGCAAGTTCAAGATATTTTAATCCAGCTGCATAAATATGTTATCTTTTTGGGGTAAATTATTAAATAAATAAAGCATTCACTTTAAATAATGATTTTATTTTATATAAAATCTACAATAATCTCAAAACGATGCCTTAACAGAACTGAACTGATTCTTATACAATAATAATATTAATGTGTTGGTCATTTTTGAAATGTGATACTCTGTTTATCAACAACGTACAGCCACCAATACCAAGGACGGTTATCGTCTTATGAATACTGGAACAGTGGCGTTTCATTATCAAGGTAGCGGGACGCTAACAAATATAATTTAATTTTTGTCGAAGCTCGATGAAGAAGTAGATTAATTTTAAAATGAATAACCCTGTACCTTTAAAATTGCAGGCTCCTAGGTAAATATTTTAAACTATGCGTTGATGTTTCAACCAGTCAATCAGTGCACATATTTTCTTCTTCAGGATTTCAGCCTATAAATTTATCCCAATAAAAATAATTCGGTATTAAAATTTATAAAAAATAATCTATTTAAATGTTAAACACTTCAGTCCAAATATGTTTGTAAAATACCTAAATCACCTGATACGTATTACCAAATTAATTATCATCGTTCATTGTAATACGCAAAAAAAGCTTAATTAATAACCGTGTGTCCGAAATCATTTGGATTTGAATTTTTTGATGTAGGCGATTGGTAGGTAAACAATACCTACTTAACCTATCTAGATACAATCACACTTTGTTATCAATATGTTTTGAAGTACCAAGGTCATTAAACTTCATATTTTTAGAGAACAGAAAGAATATAATGAGAATTGGCATACGTTCTCATATCTATTGAAAAAGATAGTTAATCTTTATTATAAAATATATCCGGCTAATTAATAAAGCTATACTACAATTTTCCACGAATTTAAAGGAAAAATTAAAAGCAAACCGGACACCCACAAAACTGTGGGCAATTCTAAAGCCCATTTTTTTGATTTGAGTTTTATGAAAATTCAGGAAATTTAAGTAGTAATTTAGAAGTAATAATTTCTCCACGTCCATTACTAAAAAATGTAGTGAAATCACTTATAATCGCTCTTGACATTGAACGAAAATTCTGAAACACCTGCCTCTTATGTATTTTACACGTATTTTATTTTAACTTTAGATACAGACTGTTCATTATATAATAGCTATTGGCCAATGGCTGTGAATATCACGCTCGCATCGTAGAGTCATGAATTTTATAAATGACAGTTCTACGCAACGTATTATAATTTAGCGGCGTGTGTTAAGTCGAATTTTAATTCAAAAATTAGCAAATATAATCTGTTCTTATATGGAATTTGATAATATTCCTCTTGAACTGACAAATTATTTAAGTAATTTAAATAAAAACTTGCCTAACACAAGTTAGATTAAATATTTTATTTTATTCAAAATTTCATATTAATATATTCAACTCCTACTTCTACTATAGAGGATTATATGTTGTCAATGGGATTAAACATTTTTTGGAATTAAAAGTAACACTTCAGTATCTAAAGTCAAAGATTAAAATAATAAAGAGTTCAAGAACTCTTTAAGAGTCATTCTCTCGCACTATAACTACTTGTATCATCATAATCGTCTTTTATGAAGTTTATTATTCTATTAAATTTTCCATTGCTATATCCACTTTCCAAAATGAATTTATCACCTTTTTAACATGATAATACATTTTCTACAATTTTCTCCATTTACATCTGAAACTGCCTTCAAAAACAACTTTCCTACATCGGTAATTTAAATGTTGTTTTAGGCCGAATTAATAAAACAAAAGAAAACCTTTCCATGCGAAATATATATTAACAAAAAATTAATCAAAACGTTCTCCTCTTTGAGCAAAAGCAAATGCTTATCCAGTAGACGTCTAAGTAAATGGGTATTAATAAAGCATACCCTTTACTTAGATTTTGGAGCAAACCTCGCAAAATGACGTTTTACTCAGTTGCAGACTTATCATTACTGTACTGAAGGTATGTGTGTTTTCATATTACTATGGCTCAGGTAATGAACGTAAGACACGTCTAACATTACAATCCTCATAGTACTCCCCACAGCAAAGATTTTAAAAAGTAAAAAGTTAAATAATGTTAAATGGCTATTAAAATACTTTCTAGATGAAGTTGAAAAGTTCGGAGGGGTCGCGCTGTAGGCAAAAAAAAAATAAAAATATGTTAAAATATAGCTAATCCCGGTTATCAACCTGGAATCAGCGAATAACTTGAAAAGCCTCAAGGTGCATTAATAATAATAATAATAATACTCTCCCTAATTCACCCCCTTTTAAACCCTGAAGTCGACTGAGCTTATGTGGGGAAGGGACGACTATTATTATTATTATTATTTGCCGTGGCATTGAGGGGCGACATTAAGATGATTGATGGTGCCATTTAACTTACATGTGAGGAAAACCTGAAAACCTTCACCCACCATCATGGAAACGGTAATGCACTGCGATTTGTAACATGAACGTCATATTAAGAGCAATTACTCCTAATACGGCAACCATTAAATCCTACAATGAACCATGCAAATTAATTAAAAATTCGCTTTGTCTGCTCTAGGATTCAAAGCCTTGTTCGCTAAACCACTGGAAAGCCTGTAAATGAATACAGGCCGCGTTACCGAGTCGAATAAGCATTAGCTGTTCTTCTCACTTAACCAGTTTTCTTTAAGTCCATTTTTTTTCTTAAACATAGTTTTCATATTGTTGACTTTCTTAGTGAAACCAGTAGACCAGTACACTTTTGGAACTTAGCCAAAATATCAGGACAAGCTCTAACAATAACTTTCAGCTTGCTGATGTTGCTACGTTCTTCAGTTTCACTTTCACTATAAGATGACATGTCAAAACCAAAGTTCATACACACTAACAAAATATTTATTTCACGACCTTTATTAACAAGAGAACCAGTATAAACTAAATACCGACAAATAGCAACAGAAAATGTAATGTCGTGTACAATTAACTTCTTATCGTGTCTCAACATTAATAATGCCAGTGACCCATCTACTCTTGGCTGGAAGAATTTGCTTGCAAGTATAAGGTAATCAATACTAATACAGATAGAAAGATTTGCTTTTACTTCTGCCTCTTACTTGAAGCAAAAGTTTTGCGTATTACGACGAACGATGATAATTAATTTTTTAATACATATCAGGTGATTCAGGTATTTTACAAACAGATTTGGACTGAAGTGTTTAACATTTAAATAGATTATTTCTAATAAATTTTAATATCGAATTTTTTTTTGTTGGGATAAATTTATAAGCTGAAATCCTGCAGAAGAAAACATGTGCAGTGATTGACTAGTTAAAACGTCAACGTATGGTTCAAAAACCAATAAAAGAACCGTTAATCCCTCATGATCGACCTGATATACCTTTTTATAAAGTGGGAGCTGACATTTTGAATTTTGGTGGTTATGAGTACTTAGTTGTAGTTGACTATTACATAAATTGGATTGAGCTAGAACGTTTAGAGTCAAAAAGTACATACTCAGTAATTAGTATACTTAAACCGATCTTTGCTAGATTTGGCACTCCTGTAATTTTTATAGCTGATAATAACCCATTTAATAGTTTAGAGTTTTTAGAGTTTGCCAAAGATTGGGAGTTTAAAGTGATTACATCCAGTCCCCATTACCCCAAATCTAATGGACTCGCTGAACGTGCAGTTGGCATAAGTAAAAGTATCATTAAAAAAATGTCATGAAGCTAACAGTGACATATTTAAAACGTTGTTGGAGTATCGCAATACTCCTCTTAGTGTACTAAATGTGGCACCTGCTGAGCTCTTACAAAAGCGGTTGTTAAGAAGCACTGTCCCTGTCACTAATTCTATTTTAAATCAAACTCCTGTTATTAACAATGGGTCAATTCATAATCATAGACTAAATAATAAAAAATATTATGATACTAATGCTCACTGTCGTCCTGGTTTCAGTGAAGGCGATAGTATAATAAAAAAAAAAAAATATGATCAAAAATGTTGGGTTCCGGGGGAAATAATAAGTAAGGCTGATACGCCGAGGTCATATTTTGTCAGAGATAATTATGGTAAGATACTTAGGAGAAATTCTTCATTTTTAAAACACTCACCAATACCTTTTCATATTGAAACTAAAACTGATTTTGATAATGAGATTGTTGAACTCAGTCCCTTTTCTGATAATGAAGTGATTATTACTTCCGAGTCTGAGACTGAAAATCTAAAGGACTCTTGTATTTCTACTAAGCTTGATAACACTGTCTCTACTCGCTCTGGTCGCAAAGTTGTTAGGCCAGCTCAATATAGA